AATTTTCCCTGGGCACCCCCCTGCACCCCACCATGGACTCGCTTGGCCCATGAAGCCTGGGGCCCACCTCAGACAGGGGAGCAGGGACCACCAAGGGAAGGGTCTAGAAAGACCAGGAGAACCTGGTGCTGGGAAGAGGGGCTTCGTCCACCCTGACTTTGACCCTCAGCCAGTGGATTCTTCCAGGCCAGCAGGACGGGCAGACTGGCAGGGTGGGGTAGCCCCCTGCAAACAAGGGGCTGTGGAAATGAGCCTCCTGTGCAGCACAAGTTGGGGGATCTCTGGCTCAGGGGCCATCACTGCAGGGCAGGGGGGTTGCTCATTTTGCTAATTCCACCGCTTCTCCCAGAGTTACTGAGGCACTGTGCTGATGAGGAGGGCTTCGATGCTGTCACTCTGGATGAGGCAGGCACCATGCTCTTCTTTAAAGGTACTGGGGCCTGGGGTCCGACCTCCGCCAGAACAGTGATCTCCCCTCCCAGGAGGACACAAGCAGGGTGGGGGGGAAAGGTCAGCGCAGGCCTTGTTAGCAGGAGCCAGCGTGGCCCCATTGGGATGAGGCCTCCCAACAGTTCAGGCGGCTGTGAAATGTAGCCAGCCCGCCCCGCCGCTACCCAGAGGGTCCGAACTGGCACGGGCGAGGGAGGCTGCGGCGGTGGAATGCCCTCCTCAGCCTTCCTGTCCGGGGCGCCTCCTTGCAGGGCCTTCAGTCTGGAAGGGGTTCTTGGGCGATGCCGAGGCCATCGAGACTTCCTGGCCCGAGTTCCGAGGACCTGTTGACGCCGCCCTTCGGATCCACTACCATGACCACCCAGGCCGCCTTCATGACCACGTTTTGCTCTTCAAGGTGTGGGCGATCTGCAGGCGGGCCCGGGAGGGAAGGCTGGTCCCCCGGCCCCACAGTGGGGAATGGGCGGGCTGGCTGAGGCAGACCGCATGTCGCGGGGGCACAGCTGGCTGGCTGGGGAGGCTGTGCGGAACGGCGCTCTTGCCTCGCCTTGCAGGGCGATCGAGTCTGGGCGTACGGCAACGGCAGGCTGCAGCTCGGCTACCCCAAGGCGATCAAGGAAGACTTCCCCGGCGTCCCGGCCGACCTGGACGCGGCAGTGGAGTGCCACCCAAAGGAATGCCCATCTGAGATGGTCCTCTTCTTCAAGGGTGAGAAAGAGGGCTCGCTCCCTCGCTCGCTTGCTCTCGGTCCGGGCACAACGGGGCACTCCGGGCCGGGAAGCCTCCAGGCCCGCCCAGTGGAAGGCTCCTGTTCTGCCGCTGCGGCACTGACCGCCGCCCACCCTTTCCCCGCAGGCCCGATGGTTTTCGCCCACGACCTGCGGACGAAGGCGCTGACGCACCGCGTGTGGCCGGCCGTCTCCTGGTGCTCGGCGGCCGTGCGCTGGCTGGAGCGCTACTACTGCTTCCAAGGCATCCGCTTCCTGCGCTTCGATCCGCTGCGGGGCGACGTGGGGGCCCACTACCCGCGGGACGCCCGAGACTACTTCATGCGCTGCCCTGGGAGAGGTGGGTCCCCTTCCCTTCCCCCACCGGCTCAGATGGCTGCGGGACGGGCGTCTGGGCTGCGAGGAGTCGGCCGGAAAGGGGACGTGAGGAAACCCGTGGTCCTGGGCACCGGGAGGAAGCGAGGCCCCGGGGGAGGCGGCGCGGGGAGCGGGTGCTTCGTGGCTGGGAACCGGGGCGGCCTCTCCCTTCACCGCCTCGCCCTGCGCCCTGGCAGGCCACGGGAAGGAGACGTGGAAGAACGCCACGCTCTGGGCCATCACCGATGCCTGCAGCGGGCGCCCTTTCCAGGCGTTCTCCTCCGACGACTCTGGGCGGACATATGCCTTTCGCGGTAAGCAGGTGGACCTGCGCGTCTGGGAGGGGGGCAGGGCGAAGGCATGGCTCTGCGGACCCAGAATTGGGCAGTGTCGCGGAGGCGGCGGGACACGGGCTGGACTCACACCTATTGAACCCTAGTCCTGAGTCCTCCACCCAAGGGGGTAGGAGTTACGGCTGGGCCCGGCCCAGCTGCTTCCAGAACACGGGCGGAGGTGCCTTGTCCTCATGCCCTTAGCTGGGGGCTGGCGGGGCCTCCAGCTGCCACCGGCTCTCCTCCACCCAGGCGGTCAGTACTTCCGTGTCGACTCCGCGCGGGACGGCCTGCACGCCTGGCTTCTGAACCACACCTGGCCGGAGCTGCAGGGGCAGGTGGATGCGGCATTCAGCTGGGCGGACAAGCTCTACCTAATCCAGGTGCGCTGCGCGAGGATGGGCGGGCTTCTGCACCCTTCAGAGGTCCAGGCCTGGGGCCGGCACTGCCCCTCTGGGGCGGGCAGGCCAACTGTGGGTCGCCGCCACAGCACCTGCCACCTGGCCTCGGCCTGCAGAGCAGCCCCGGTTCCAGCGAGGAAAGCCGGCCGCACGGGGATTCCTCCTGGAAGGGAGCCCCTGAGGCCAGTGCTCCTCCCGGGCACAGCAGCAGCAGCAGCAGCAGCGGCAGCAGCAGGGGCGTCCTCGTGCGTCTCCTCCAGCGAGAGGGGGAGTTGCTGGCTGGGCAGCTGAAAAGGGAAGCTCCAGCCCGGGGCTTTGTCCGCCGTCTCAGTAAACCTCTGCCGCCCCCGAGGGCACTGGCCCCTCTCCCCGCCCAGCCGGTCCCGGCTCCCTCCCGGTGCGTCTGTGCCCTCGGCTGCGCCAGGCCAGAGGGCGGGCCAGACCCTGAGCTAGAAGGGCACTCGGCAGAGCTGCGCTTCCCTTCGGGAGTCCCGGAACAGGACCGAAATACAGGGCAGCAACCAGGGCGGTCTTGGGGAGCCAGCCTCAGAGCTCTACCGGGGGCGCAGTGGGGCATCTTTCTCCCCTCCCCGCAGGGCTCCCAGGTCACGATCTATAGGTCCGCCCATGGCTACAGCCGCCTGGAGGGCTATCCCCGGCCCCTGTTGGAGGAGCTGGGTGTGTCCCGAGCAGACGCTGCCTTCACTTGCCCTCACTCCTGGAAGCTGTACATCATCCAAGGTGCGCAACTGGAGTGGGGTGGATGGTTGCTTTTCTCAAGGGGGGCTCAGAGGGCAAGCCTACTGGAGGATGTCCTTTCTTTGCCTAGCTAGGCCCCCCCCGCTGGAATTCCAGAGCAAACCAGAGATTTGGGGAGGTGCTCTGGCAGGCCTATTGCGGGTGGGCTGCAAAAGGAAGGAAAATGCCGCCCAAAAGCAGACTGAAACGCTTCCCAACCAGGGATGCCCCCGTGGGGTATTGGCCCGGAAGAACGCCTTTCACCCTGGCCTGGGAAGTACTTGGACCCGAGGGGAGGTGCTCAGGGCGAGCCCCGGCCAGGAAGACCCGTCTGCTTTTTGGATGCCGGAGGGCGGGGAAGTTGTGAAAGGAAGCCGATGAGTGAGAGAATAAATGAGACCTGTGAATTCAGCGGGAGGGGGCCATGAAAGGCAGGGGAGCACGAGGGCACCTGGTTCTGCCTGTGGCCAGCCCTGTCCACTCTGGCATCCCGGATCCGGTTGCCCAGGGTTAGGTGAGCCCCTGACCAGGTCCTGCCCCCCCCAGGAAACCACCTCCAGCAGATTGACCTGCAGCAGAGTCCCCGCCACCCAGGACCAACCCGGCTCCTTCCTCATCCTCACGTGGACGGCGCCATATGTACCTCTGAGGGGGTGTTTCTGTTCATCGGAGCGGAGTTCCACCAGTACAGGGACGTGGCCCAGCTCAGCGCTGCCACCGTCCCCCCACCAGCCCAGAGCACCACGGCTATCTTCTTCCGCTGCTCTCCGCCCGGGGCTCCCCAGCGGCCTCCTCCCCAAGGAGGGCATCTCCCCCAAGACAACCCACAATAAACCTCTGGCCTCTGCGTGCTGGTGTGAATGCTGTGCTGTGGGGGGCAGGGAGCGCTGCAGACCACCACCAGTGGAACTCGGACCACCGCAGTGCCAAGGCCTGGCCGGGCACAGGCTGTCACGGTCTCCGGGGGACCTAGCTGGAGCAGGAGGGGCGCACAGGGAGGGGCTGAAGCGGATCCGTTCGGTGCAGCAAGCTTTTATTCACAGCCCTTGGTCAGCCGCTAGCAAGGAGGAGCCGCGGCTGCGGGGCCCCACTCAGTTTCGTGGCGCTTAGCCAAAAATGCAGACGGTGCCCGAGGCCAGGCGGTGGTGGTACTCGTGCAGCAGGCTGGCGGCCAGTGGGAAGCTGCTCTTCACCTCCAGCTTTCCTGGCACCACGAGGAGGGTGACGCTGGGCCCCAGGCCTTCCGCCAACTTCTGCAGCATGCGGCGGGCAAGGTAGCCGCGGGCACGGGCCGGCTCGGCCTCCAGGCTG